ATTATCTACTGCCATTGAGCCATCTTTCTGCGGTAAATTGTAATAATGGCTACCAAACATGTCTAAAATGCAGTTTAATCGATTTTTAAGTACTTAAAATTAATCGCTTTGATCATTATCAGTTTGAATTACCTACCTAATTGTTTTATAAGATGTAGTTAAGTATTTTATTACTGTTATATTTAATTTATATTGTCTCTTAGATTCTAAAGTATTTAATACATTGTCGCTCGTTGCGCAATCTACTCGAATGTATGATGCCGATTTCTATTCAAAATGTAATTAATACTTCATTTTTCTTAATTTATCTAATTTTTGGATGCTTATTGACTCTTTAATTCTTTCACAGCGACTATCCTCGAACAATACGTAGAGGAGTATTCAGACACTCATATTTTGCCAATAGTTAGGGATTAGAAAGGAAATCTGGAGGTATATTGAAAGGAAAGGTAGATAAGAAGGTAGGTCGGAAGGGAGTGATAGGAAAGGGGAGTATCTAATGCGGATTGATAGAGGAGTGAAGCCTGTTGTCTACACTACCCATATCCATATCCATACTTCTATCCGTACTTATATATTTTTTCATTTATTTGGGACAAAAAACATTTATACATTGCAGTCTTAGAATTTACATATCTAAAACGTATAACCCACACTATTGTCCACGAGGTTGAAGCTGGAGTAGAAAAGATAACGGACGCGCACTATACAAAAAAGGTAAATTATATAGTATAATATAAGATATATAGTTAATAAAAAATGTCTTCATTGATCAGCAATAATTTCAGTAGCATTTTTTTTGAATTTAGAGTGAATGAGAGCGAAAATATCATAGCTCATAAAATGTGAGTTGTACGTTATCAATAATCGGCGAAAATGTGAACGCATTTTAAATGTAAAAGTGAGTTTGTTTGTTACGTTTACACGCATCATCATCATCATCATCAACAGCCTTTAATAGTCCACTGCTGGACATAGGCCTCCCCTTAGAAAGGAGGTTTTGGCCTACTATACCACGCTGGCCAGACGGGTTGGTATAGGGTTTGTTTCAAGTTTTCCTTCTTTCTGCAGTGTTGTTGTCCTGCGTAATTTTCTCCCTTAGTCGCCTCTTACGACACCCACGGGATGACTTTAACCTATGGAAAGTTACATTATCAGCGAGCACGAAAAGTCTTAGTCTTATAATTGCATAAAACATCTCTAGTCAAACTGTTTTAGATACCCTAGGCAATGCAACCGAATGAAATAGTCTGAACAAAAAGTGATAGAATATCTAAGTGTCTAATATTACGAAAGATAATTTTGTAATATTCTTTTAGTTAACAGATCAGGTGATTGGTACATGAGAGCAAGGCTATTCCACAATGCAACGCTTTCTAATAAATTTTAGTATTGATAGTTGTAGGGGACACAATTGAATTTTGAAATAGTTAAAAACCAATTTTAAAAAATATATTGAGAATATAATTAGGTTTTATCGATTTTGCCCGGGATTTGTTTTCGTTGAAGTTATTTAGTAATACTTTAATGTGCCCTTGGCAAAGTCTGAGCAAAATTTTTTGATGATCTTTTAAGGCATGAAAGCATAACAAAAACAAACCAACAAAAAAAAACACTAAATTTAGCCTGCTTAAGTGTTTTAAATAGGTTTAAGTAAGTTTTGATTCATAATATTCGTATAAAACAGAATTGTGTGGACACTGGTTATAGATATGTAATCCGTACTTATATATAGTTTTATAAAATGTGAAAGTGAGTTTGTTTGTTTGTTACGATTTACGCCTAAACCACTAAACCGATTTTAAAAATCCATCCACCAACGGAAAGCTACATTATCAGCGAGTAACATAGGCTACCTTTTTAACCGCGATTACCGACATGCACGCAGGCGGAGCCGCTGGCAAAAGATAGTATAAGTATAAAATTCAGTTAATTGTCCCCAATGCAAATAGTGAAATACTTTTTAAATGTGTACCATCCTCATTTTTTCACAAAAATGCAATAGGAGCATAAAATACAAATTAAAAATTGTTCCTATTCAAAAATAGCTTCACCGACTATAAAATCAAAGTTAGTCCATCCGTTAAGGAGCTATTATGCCAAAGATAGACACTTATAAAAGATAACACACATACAAAAGACAAAAGACACCGATAAAAGATACAAAGACGTTAAAGATACAGAGTTAGACACGTTATAACACACCTCCTTATTGTTATTATTAACTAAAATAACAACAACAAATAATATATACATGATAATAATGGCTTTTTACCTATGAAGATGGAGATTTTTAAAACCAGTATTTTCAGATTTAATTATCTGTGGAGTCCAATTCAAAAATTCAAATAAATTTTATTCGGAAGCCATATTATTTAAATTTAAAATTCAGTCATTAGTTTTATTTTTGTGAAATTGTGGTAGTTTCTAGTGCCATGGATAAACTGAAAATTCGTACAATTTTCGAATATGAGTTCCTACGTGGAAATACTGCTGTGCAAAAAAAACACGACATATTAACGACCTGTAGAGCCTGACACTGTTTGCATAAACACGTTCCATTATTGGTTCAATCGTTTTAGATCTGGAATTGTGCGTCAAATCTCAACGATAAAAAAGCTAGATAAGTGGGGGCCACACGAACTAAGCGACCTTCAGCGAGACTTACGCGTCGAAGCACACATAGCACTACAGAATCGGCATACAAACAAGGGAATTCTGAATCGAATTGTTACCTGCGATGCAAAGTGGATTCTGTACAACAACTGTGAGCGTTCGTCTCAGTGGGTCGACTCGGGTACAGCAGCTAATCAGTGCGCTAAACTGAAGATTACCCATAGGAAGATGATGGTGACTGTCTGGAGGACCAGTACCGAACTTGTACATCACAGCTTCTTATCGACTGGCACAACATTGATAGCAGATATCTATTGTCAAGAATTTCAAGCAACATGTACAATGATGGAGAAGCTTGCAATTCAACAACCACGACTGGTCACGACAACGCGCAAGCTCACACTTTACGACAGACAGAGCTACAAAGGTTACAGCTGGTAGCTCTCCGTCACCCACCGCACTCACCGGACCTTGCCCCAACAGACTCCATTTTTTTTACAAAATTTAGACAATTTTTTAAGTGTGAAAAAATTCTACACCCAGTACAAAACGCTTTCACTGACTTCATCGCATCCCGTCCAGCAGACTTCTACAGTAACGGGATAAACAAACTGAAATCAAAATAGCAAAATTGTATAGATAATTTGGGCCAGTACTTTAATTAGCTAAAACAAAAATAAAATCAAAATTTTCATTTTCATACAAATCTCCAACTTCATAGTAAAAGACGTAGTGTAAGATATAAGTAAGAAAGAAACATCAATCACGTTATCTTTTGAGAAACAATCTTTATCTTTTATAAGTTATTCTTTAGATTAGTTAGATAGTTTTTAATATACTTTAGTTATTAATATTACTTTAATTTACTGAAAAAGGGGATTAAGTTTAAATACCATGAAGTATGAATAGCAAGAATACTAAATAATGTTTCAAGAATTTTATCTATTCGTAATTCTAGATAGAATAAAATGTCAAGGTTACAATTACACAATTAAAATTTTTTTTTTGATGTTGGATGGGTTGGTTGTAACAAAGATATTTTGATTTCTACGATACGCTACGGACTAAAATTACCAACATTTACTAATTGGTAAAGTACCAGTTGGTTAAAATAAAACGTAACGTCCCTATAGTTTAAAACTAAATAAATATTTGCATGCTGTTACATAACATAAATATATTTTCACTTGATTCACCTGCATTTGGAAGTGTCAAGTTTCACACAATTCGATGATATTTTTGGCTATTTACGAGTACTTAGTAGTGAGCAATCTTGTCTTACCGGCTTAATATTTGACACTTTAAAATGGAATCAACAACATACGATTCACAAATAAAATATAATATATACACATATATAAAGAAACAAACATTATAATAATGAACTAATTTACATACATACCAATATCTAAAAATGGCGAACATTTGAGTCAGATTGCAAACTTCCCAACAATGTAGTTTGTGGTTGGTAATTTATTGATATTAATTTCGTATACTGCATATTTAAAAATTTAATATTTTTTATTTTAATACTTTTATCATAAATTTAAGATAAAATAATTAAGCAAGATTTGCTATATTAACATAATAATAAAACAAAGTAGGAAACAGCATTGTTTTGTGCGCTTATTTTTTTGAGTAAACAAGATAATATGTAGGTATGAATTAAATTGTTGTCTATTCTGGTGATATATATTTGTGTTGACATTATTTTGTATTATTAATATGTAAATGCAGTTAAATGTAACCACATCGCTTACAGTTGTTTAGATGGTATTCGATGAAGGCGGATCATTAAGTCATCAAAAAAAATTGTAATGTTACTAATATTAGGCTTAAGTAAAATGTTACTAAAATATTGGGCCTAGTTGCCACCTAATAAACAATGATTATTATTGTATAAAGATGTATTATTACTAAGTAATCAATATTTTAAGTTTCGGTTTTGTAAAGAGGACGTCCCGCCAAACTTGAACATTTTGTTTATTATATCTTGATGATATACGAACAAATCAGGCTTAAGGCAACTAGATTCTAACTAGCCTTAAAAATGAAATTCAAAAAATAAATAGTTTTTTGAACACAATTATTTACGTCGCGTTCCAAAAAAATCGATTTTGTTAAACGGTAAAATTAAAATGTAATGCAAAACTTAATAATTTATCAAATAGTCGAAAAGCGGGTTTTGTAGACGATATACTCGTACGTTGATAGGTACTTTAATTGGAATACGTGAGCGTTTTATGGCGCATTTTTGCAATGACTCGAGGCATACCACTAAATATTGTAGTGGCAGTGTAAGCAAAGAGACTAAATGCACTTGTATAAACAAACGTTGGTCGCAATGACAAAACTAAGCACACGAGCAAGCTATTCGTACTCACGAAGGGCATCGTCGCGTGACGTCCGCTGAAAACTATCGTGAAATGTAACGTACTGGGTACAACACGGTCGTCTCGGTGCTGAAGCCGCAGCACTCGCACACCGTTAGATACGTGTTGTCAACCGTCTCCTCGAAGGTCATGGCGCGCGCGCATCGCACGAAGGCCCTTCAACCACTGACGGCGCGAGCGAAACGCGGCCGCGCACGCGCCGCTCACCAACTCTCACACACTCACCGAAGTGCCGTGGCCGACGGACTCGATGAGGTCCCCGTACGCCGGCATCGCATCAGTGTACCCCTCCTCTTCCGTGTTGTCGTCGCACGACTGCGCCGGCGAGGGTGGTGTGGGCACCGCGAGCCTCTCGCGCGCCAACGCCACCGCCTCCTCCAGCGACCCCACCTTGGCGCCTCCCCTCTCTCCGTCGTCGTGATCCTCTGACAGAGCAACAGATGCCTGCGTAACAAACGCGATGCGCCTCCGCAGCGCATTCTCCGGGCTTGGCTCCTCAACGGGTTTTTCCATTTCCACTGCAGTATTGCGTTTCCACGCAGCTTTTGTAAATAGACGTGTTGCGACGGGGTGTTCAACAGCGATAGGACTTACCGGTTCAGGAATTACAGGATCGGGGATCGTTGGTTCGGGAGTTGCCGGGTCGGAAATTGCCGGTTTGGAAGTTGCCGGTTCAGGAGTTTCCGGTTTAGGGGTTGCCGATTCGGGAGCCACCGCTTTGTTAATTATCGGCTCGGATGTAATATTGTCCTGGGTTGGATTCGGAGGGTTGTCTGCATTCGCAGGCCCTGCTTGAGTCTGAGACTGCGACGTTAAAGACGTTTGGCCGGTCTCACGTTTCTTACCGATACTGCCCATTCTGCGAATAAAACTGCCGCCCTCTTTTTTCTTCTTATCGATGCTGGGTGAGCTGTCCGTACTGCGAGAGGCATCGCTAACGGCGGCAGCGGCCTCTCGTTGTTTTTTATTACGTTTACGCATCGTGCGTTCGTCGCGCGTGATCTCACTGTCTGAGGCGACGGACTTAGAGGAGCCGGTGCGCTTGATCAAACCGATGTGGAAGGGCGAACCGGAGCGGAACGGCGTCTGGAACGTGTGTAGAGTACGACGAAGACGCGAGGGCCCGCTACGTGCGGGGGAAGGCGTCGCAGGTGGCAGGGGGGGCTCCTCGTCCCGCATGGTTGTGGAGCGAACGCAACGCGTCGACTGCCGTGCGGCGCAGGACAGCCTACCTTCCACAATATACGACCTTGCTCCCGAAAACACTCACAATTACTTACAAACATTGAGTTAATCTCAGTGACAGGTCAACGAACACGGATTAATTTAATTAAGCAGACAGGTACAATAGGTATAGAATACCTCTAGGATTATACGGGTGTATTTACCTTTTATAAATTTAACTATTAAAATACCAAAACCTTATAAAAAGAAATCTTACTTTTAAAAGAGTGCGACTCGGGCTCCCCTTTTGTCGAAATTGAGTTGGTGATGTTGCCAATAGCGACATAAAGTTTCAGGTTTACACTATCAGCGAACGACTGCAGAATGCAAAGGAAACACTGATACTAATATGAATATTGTGAGTAATAGGCACACAACTATACAATATTTACATCCTTCACAAGTGCTCAGTAGTTTATCTTGAGGGCTTATACATTATAATCTAATCGCCTTCGCATTTTTATAAACAAGTTACGCACGGTATTTGAAAATAATTTGACAGGCTTTTGTTAGTGCACCTCATTTACGATTGTAAATGATACAATCTTAAAATATTTTTTAAAATACTAAACATAATTCGGAGACTAACCAAGTTACATTCATAATAAAATGATATCTGTTATTATTACTGATTACTCTTTATTTTTATATGAACAGAATTATAACAATTGCAGTAAAACGTACTACCTTTTTAAGGAGAGGCTTGTCCAGCAGTGGACTGTCATAGGCTGCTTATGTGATGTGATGATGTACTACGTATTAATGATAAAATACATACAGTGATATTTCTGAAAGATTAAACTTTCTTTTACTGAACAAAGATTGATCAAAGATCCTTTAAAAGAAACCTTATAAAAATCATGAATTTCAAAAAAAAAACAAGTCTTATAAAACAATTTAGAAACTAGTCGAATACTTACATAACAATCGATAAGTCGTATTTCCAATTGCAAGTCGATATCAAAGGTCTTTGTGGGGTTTCTCTTTCTTTTACACTCGACGATGATTCCATACAACTGCCGCTGTACACTTAGGTATAACCTACGGTTCATCAACTTTTACGGTCTTTGTGAGGACTGATGTGGAAAATTTTGGGGATTAAATATAATAGTATATGTCTGCTTAATTCTTTATTTACGATATTATCCTACTTTAGAATAGGTTGACCTTATAATACGTTTCGATTCACTAGAAATTACAGTTAAGATAAAAAAAAAGATTTAACGAGTAATCGAAACAAAATAGTAATAACTACAATAATAATAACTTCTTCTAAACACATCTCACGAACGGTCGTCTCATCCCTAACTAGGCAGAGCCTGTACTTAGTATAGAGTAGTAACCAGATGCTAATGATACCTATATTAATTTTATCCAAAATATTAGTGGTTACCATACCACCGTGGCAACATGGCTTTGCCTAGTTTGCGATCAGTTATTATTATTATTATATTTCTAAATACGTAGTTAATAGGTGTATATAATACAATTACCCACGGACACAACAAATGAACATGCTCATCACACAATAATTTTAACTCAGCTGACTGCTAGCCACCAATACTACTTACAGGCCCGTCAAATGTTTTTAATAGTCTATGTTCGTGTTGTGATTGATGAATGGCTGACAAAGGTGGGAAATAAAAAAACACCAGAATCCAAATTCACGTATTAAAAGTTCGGTTTCAATTCGGTTCCGATCAACTTTCGATCTCACAGCTGTCATAAAAGGTATTTTCGTAAAATAGTAAAGTATTACTAAGACTAGTAGATTACCGATTCAATTCTCGGTTACAATACGATATAATCACATTATAGTCAACGTTGGATGTATAATACTTTACTACGAAAATACCTTTATGACAGTTTTGAGATCGAAAGTTGATCGGAACTGAGTTGAGACCGAACTTTTATTACGAGAATTAGTCTTCTGATGTCTGCTCACGCTTAGAGTGGCTGGGTATTTGTTTGTACTGCTTTACTTGTGTGAGTTAAATAAAAATATTTTGAATTTCCACCATGTTGAATTTACCATGAACAGCTCATTAACAGTGCATAATACACAACTGTTTACAATTATTTTTTTGTCATATATATTTTGTAACGTAAAAAAACTTAGATATGCAAATAATGAGGTAATTTGATTGAGTATTGATGACAATTAAAAATATATCAAATTAATATACTTATAAACCACTTTTAAACACTTACTTATAAGCACTTAGTGCTTATTGATACATTTGTCATTCGTATTTCACTTACTAACATTCACATACATTTAAATTTAAAAAAGTGACATTCGTTCATTCGTTTTTAAGTAGTACGACTACCTACTTTCATTTTTAAATAAACTGCCCCCATTTAGTATATTTCTATTGCATTGTATCAGTGTCTAAAAAGCGATGTCATACGTATAAAAATAATGTATATTATACAGACATGGACAGGATCACTATCTACAGATGATAAAGAGATAAGAAACCGAGAATAAAATTTATTTTGCTTTGTTAGAAGTCTAAATACCTATAGCGAGGAAACCAAATCCTTTTGAATAACTTTGAAGGGTATTTTTAACCTAAAATAACTTACTAGGTGATAATGTGTGTTCTGCTTTCACTTCACATCACATCATCATCATCAACAGCCTTTAATAGTCCACTGCTGGACATAGACCTCTGCTTAGAAAGGAGGTTTTGGAATACTATACCACGCTGGCCAGACGGGTTGGTATAGGGTTTGTGTCAAGTTTTCCTTCTCTCTGCAGTGCTGTTGTCCTGCGTAGTTTGCTCCCTTAGTCGCCTCTTACGACACTCTCGGGATGACTAGGGGTGGTGACACTCTGTATTCTTAATCCGTCACCACACGGCTGGCTTTCACTTCGTCAATCCTAAATGTATATTATCTGATCTATTTAAAGTAAAAGTTTAAACTGTAGAAAGTCAAGGTATGAAGGTAATGAATACAGTTTACACTGTGATACTTATCAAACACGCTTTTTTTAGCTTGATATGTATTTATGTAACGTAATCTTTGAACGTGATTTTCACCCGCACTAAAACGTCGGCTTGAATTAAAACTTCCTACACTTATCAAGAAGTGATGACAATACAATAATTTAATAAATTTGTCCGATTATTTTGATCAGAGTCTTCGGGATAAACGGCTTTTCCATATTTAAAAATACAGTAGTGTCTCTGGCTACGTACTAAGAGGCGTGTGCTGAAGCATAAGTGACTGTTGCCATCGACACGAGAAGAGAAGAGAAGACTTTTTCCTTTTTAAGTCTTAATGAGAAAATAATCATAATTTATTACTAAAAAAGCATGGGTGCTTTTTAAGATATTTCATTATATAATAACTTTACTTTGACCAATATCTGCCATATAAAATATTTACAACAATTGACATCTAGCACTCCACGCATTTTTACGATAACGTGATTGTTGTTTTTGAACTTATAGAAAATTATTATCTACGTTTTCAAGCGTGTTTGTTTTAGTTTTTTTTTTAACTATAATTTAGTTAAAGATATCATTATAGTACACAATTATACCCGTCAATTATATTCAAATTTATTCAAAAGAAATTAAAGTTCAAAATATTATTTCACCTAAGTATTTATATGACGACTAATATAAGTACAATTCAATAAAAGTTTCGTTGCAGCCATCTTGAACACTGGTGTAACCGTGCACATAATATCAAATGTTCAGTTTAATGTTTTTTTTATAAAAATACTTTTTTAAATTGATAGTACCTATTATGTAAAAAAACAACATCGTATTGTACAGACAAAGACTTTATTAAAACTCCTGTTATATCAATAGGACATAATGGTATAGTTGTTTACTACATAGCATCTGTCGTTCATTCGTTATATTCGTCGATATCACAGGAAATATCAATAAGGAACAATTTAAGTTTTGTTTGTCGGCACCCACCATAGAGGATAGTCTTTTACAACGCTATATAATGTTTTGTTGCTTAAACATCTTACTACCTATAATTAAAGTTATGTCAATTAAAAGGGTGGTTCGCGCGTTTTCTTATTTTAAACGTAAATATGTGTCATCAGTATTCTTGACAAAACAAGCGACACTTAAATCTATTTATGATTACAGATTATAAATAGGTACCGTGTTATGTTCTTTTGAGATAGTTAAGTCTTTTACATGACCGGGACGGTGAATAGTTACTTCAACCGAGGCGACAGAAGAGTGGGTAACCTTTAGCACCTTGTTTTTTAAAGCCGCTTAGAATTTGACGTGCTCGGCGAGATTCGGGGTGATAGACAATTGCAAGGCATTTGCAAAATACACTTTTAATAAATATATTATAAACTCTTTAGAGCACAAACACAAAAAAATATATTAGTAATGAAAGTGTTTTTTCATAAATATACTCGTAGTAGCTAAGTATAGAATTGTATGGTTGAGTAAGAAAAAATAATCACTGCTTTAAAAATTGATAACGGCCTTGAATCATACTTAAATACGAATATTTTAAAGAAGTTAAGGTTCAGGTTTCCATTGACGTCCGTCGAGTTGGGGACCGATATTTTTTGACAGAAAGGTTACATTATTAATAAGCACACACGCAAAGTTTCAATATGCGGAGACGCGTAGTTTTTGAGATTTTTTAATTGAAATCAATTATTTTTGCATTATTTATGTCAATCCCTACCACAGATTATATAGAATTCTCGCCGTTGAACGTTTCGTTTTACCTACAGTTAAGTAGTCATACGTTTGGTAACATTTTTTTACAAGCCGGCAAAAGACGGTAAACAGTACACATTTTAATGCTGTAATTTTATATATATAAACTGTTAAATATATGTGTGCATCAAAACTATTGAAATGAGTACAAAATATAATTATTTACGTAAATATTTATAAAATAAAATGTTACCGAACGTTACAACAGATAAAAGGGACGCAGACAGCTTAAGGAGT